TGCAAATATAACATGCATGTGACTTAACAAAAAACTATTCAATCATTGCTTTGAACCCCCCTCCAAAAAAAAGAAAAAAAAGAAAACTCACCTGGGTCATCAGTCTGTGATTTTGTTCTTGTTGTCCTTGTTGTCCTTGTTGTTCTTGTTGTTGTTACTTTTCTTGTTGTTGTTGTTGTTGCTGATGTTACTGTATCTTCATTCAAACAAAAGATCAAATTCAGCTAATTAAAAGTTCTTTCCTCACATCAGTTGAAAGTAATTTTCTCAACCGAATCTCTCCTGGTTTCTTACCTGATGACTGAGGCCTGAAGGTAAAAAGCTGCTCTTTGTTTTCTTCTGTTGTTACGTTACACTTAAAGTCAGAGTTAGATATGTGACTGTATGATGACTTTATAAAAGTAACAGCAGCAGAGCAGGGCGACTGTAATGTTTTTATGTTTGAGTAATCTCTATTCAGACCTCCACTGTCATGGATCCACCTCACTTTGTGTTTACACCGTTTATATGTCCACACAGAGCAGTTTAAAGTCACTTGATCAGTGTTCTTCTGTTCAGTCACTGGTGAAGATTCCAAGAAAAAACATTTAAAAAAAAAAAAAGTCATGTGTTAGCATATTGTTTAGTTGTTCACAGCTTGTAAATACTGGTGGTCTGGTGTGGTGTGGTGTAAATACTCACTGATGACATCAGACAGGTAAACCACAGCATCTGGACCTTGCTTTTTCCCTGGATTGTCTCTAAACTGTCTGCAGGTGTAACGACCAAGATCCTTAGCTGTGACCTTCTTTATAACCAGTGAGCATTCTGCTGTAACACTCAGTCTGTCTGATTTGGCCTTTTCTTTGATCTGTCCATGATTAACCAGCTCTACTGCTGGTGTGCTTCTTGATTCAATGAAGAGCCAGTTGATAGCGTTACAGTTGTGATGATTCTTCATCACATTTTCACAAGGCAAAGTGACTTTATCTCCATCTCTGACAGTGAAGGAGAGTGAAAGATCTCCACTTAGTGCTCCTGAGAACACGACAAAGAATCAAAAAGGTAACACTGCATGTCAGAGCGCAGATAATTTTGCATAGTTATGCACACATGTATGCATTTGTATCTTTTTCATTTTCACTAGTGCACTGAGCTGGAAATGTTTTTAAATCTTTCTCTTATACACATGTTGGATGTATCCTTACCAACTGAAGCACAGGTACAGCAATAAAAACACTTTAAGCTAAATAAATTTAACCATCATTTCTCTTAGCCTCTCTTTTCTCACTTTCTTCTTGAGCTTCTGAAAAATAAGTGTATCAACTTCCCTGTTATTAGTGAGGTAATACATTCATAGAACTCAGAATCTGCTGAGATGATAATAATAATAATGTCCTCAGTGTAAACTTTTGTAATCTCATTTATAAACGTATCTGTATTCCTACCTGTTAATTGAAGCATTAGTATCACTGATAAAAACATGTGAATCCATCTGAATTCAGCCATCATGCTTCTCGGTATTTCTCCTTCCTGTTTCTCACACTAATGACAGTCGCAGACTTTAAAGTCGTGCTCTCTGTCGCCGTTCCTGTGGTTGTTATCTCACTATCTCACGCTAACTGTTCAGGAAGTCCTTTCTCTGACAATTTCTGTTGTTTATAAAATGGCTGGGGAACGAAACAATATTAAAGAGGTCACAGGTCACTGCAGGCCCTCAAACCCTGTAAAACTAAAACGAGCACGTAGAACAGACAGCCGAATGTTGCTCAGTGACTTATGATAATCCCACTGTCCGTTTGTGAAGGTAAGACTATGTCTTCTTGCTCTGATACTTGTTGGTCCCTCACTGTGTCTGTGAAGTGTTGTTTTTCTGAGAAGTGAAGGGGCAGAGTTAGTGAGAATGTAGAAGTGTTACCGTCAGAAACACAGATGCTTTACACACTAAATGTCCTTTAGACATTTAAACTAAGTGTAACAGCAAACTGTTCTCACAGCTGAGGGTGTTGGTTATTACACTTTCAGAAAGTTCAACATATTGTTGTTTTTTTTTTGTGGCTCATGGCTATGTTGTTAATAGTAAACATTTGAATCATATAATTTTCAGCTCAGACTGTCTCATTAAAACAAACTGGAAGATTACTGTAAATTTCATTCTCTCTTTTTTTATTCGTGACTGAAAGTAAGGCCAACAGGGTAGAAACATTAATCTGCATAGATGTGCAGAGGCAACAAACTCACAGGCTCAACTGTTGTCACTTCATTGGTACATCATTTCTTCCTCATTACATCTTATTTAAGTGTCTGTTTCTGAGAACTGAAGGGGAAGTGCTTTGGTGCAAATGTGGATACGACAGCACCAGCATAACTCTGCAGGTTTTAACCTCTAATTGTCATGTACTGGCTGTGTGGAGGCAGGAGAAGACCCAAACGCAAAACTCACGGAGACTGGAACTGAACTCAAAAATGCTGCTTTATTGCAGAAGTGCAAAGTAACAGAACAAAACCGGGAATATAAACTAAAGCCCGAGGGAACAGAAAGCCACACAGGTTCGGGGAAGAGACATTGACGACGCAACACTGACCTGATGGAGACACGCACATAAATACACAGAGGGTTAACGAGGGAAGTGGGAGCACACGGGGAACACAGCTGACACAGATAATCATAACGAGACAGGGCAGGAGTGAACACAACATGACGCATACTGACGAGAGACTGTCAAAGTAAAACAGGAAGTACACAGAGGTAGAGACAGGAG